TTTTTKATTTTGCATATAAAACAAAAACTACAAATATAATTCATTGAAGTTGTATACAGAGAAAATGTTCATCAAAATTGTTTACTATAGGTAAAAATATGAGGATTGTCCGTGATAAAAACTTACTACAATATGTGTATAAGTTCAGTTATTTTATATATAAAAATTAAGCTAAAGTTATATTAGGATATAGAAAATTGTAAGTTGGTACTATCGAAAAAATAATCGTTTTTAATTTTGGTGCAAATTATATATGTTGTATATTACATTTTGGGTCAATTTTGGTGCAAATTGATTACAGCCATTTATTTTTTTCTCTTAAGATTCGAGTTATAGAAATTCTTCTGTGAACTTATACATTTTTGAGCCTAATACTCAGGGCCGGACTGGGTAGGGCCCGGCTTACTATCCCAAATATAATAGCGGCCCTACTCCCTGAGTCTCTGACTATAGTGGTAATTAGTTAAATATAATACAAATAATTTATTTATTTCAATAACTATATTATAATATCATGATAACAGTTTTAATAAAAGCGATGAAGAATTTTTTATGATTTCCAAGACATCTTGAAAATCAACCTCTTCCAAAACTAGTTTTTCTCCTGACATCATTATAAAAGCCTCTGTTCTTGGTTCAATGACGAACGTAATCTATTTTTTATTATCTTTAGTGCTAAATGTACGTTCACAGTTAACTTGACTGACTGATAAACTTAAGACAAATTCATATGCAGCATATAAATTTGAGTGAGCAATAGAATGCATATTTAGTGAGTATAATAGTTTTTGAACRCAGATCAAACATTTAGAACGGTCATAATTTGATTTTGATGATTGTTTACATCCTTTAGTTAAAAACAAATTATATTAAAACAATTAAATTAGGATAAAATTTAATTTAGTAACCAATTTTACTAATTTGAAAGTTGCACTTACCATTTTTTTYCAAATTAATGTTAAATTCGTTCCATTCCAATGAAAAATTGTGATAGTATATCAGATAATATGAACGTATAATAATACCACGTTAATCTATTTTTAGCAAAACTATATGTTTATT